GTCACTTGTAATAGCGAAAACTCTCCTACATTCGTGACTGCATTCGAACGTGATTGCTCCACTGATCTCATACTGGAGGCTCTGGATGATCACTCTATTTCTGATCATAGGAATATCGAGTTCAGTTTAGTCGGAGAATGTTAGTCGGAGAAAGTCTTTTAGAAATCCTAGGAATACAAACTGGGAGGGCTAGCAAGAGGCTCCGACAAACTCTCCCGCGCGCACCGGAGGTGGACGGATCGATCAGCCAACTGCAATAATTTTAATATAAAGAAATCACCATATGTACAATATGTTTACTCTGGGTTAATAACCTGCTAAATGAATATATTTTTGGAATTTAATTATTTTTTATATGTGGAAATGGAAAACTATTATGTGCACATGATTATGTAGTTATTTAACACATTAGCAGATGTTTAAATAAAGATTAATGTGCAAATAATCTTATGCTAGTTACTAGTTTTTAAGTTATTAGCTGGTGGAAACCGGTGTGGTTCATCATCAATGTCTGCTCCGGTGAATTGTTGAATAGTTAACTATTAATAATGAGTCAAAGTCCAGTGGAAACCAGAAAAACGTTAAATTCGGCTGCACCGAAGCTAATATACCCTTAACAGGTGTATTTATTTTAGTAACTATGTTTTCAGTTTTTGTATGGAAGCTATATGCTATTGTAATCCGATCTGAACAATTTTTTCGGAGATTATGTTATTACCTTAAGCAGTAATCCATGTCAAATTTCGTGAAGATACCACGACAAATGCCAAARTTTTCCATACAAGAACTTGATTGCGATCGTTCAGTTTGTATGGCAGCTATATGTTATAGTGGTTCGATATCGTCCGTTCCGACAAATGAACAGCTTCTTGGAGAGAAAATCATGTTTACAAAATTTCAAAACGATCTGTTAAAAACTGAGGGATTAGTTCTGACATATACAAACTTCGTGACAAACTTAATATACCCTGTTCAGGGTATGTATAAAAATGTGCACGACGCTCTTTGTATTTATTTAAATGTAAGAATCTCGACTCGACTAGAATGCAGAAAAACAAGAAAAGAGGTCAGGCGAGCATTTATGCAATCACACAATTGAAGACGCGGTGAAACACCAAATACCTGAAATGATAACAGCAAAGCAACGCGAGTTGATAACCTATGACATGAGCATCTTTCAAATTCTATTGAGATGCCAAATTTTTTGGCATATTTGCTGATTTGGCAATCTTTTTCTTAAGATAAAGCGCCTGCATTAACCTCTTCATAGCGAATTTATTAAAATATATTATGCGAGTATTTTTTATGAGCAATCACTTGGCGCCGCATGCCAATTCGTGGAATAAATATAGACAATCAATAAGTCTTAGCGTTTTAAATGCCGTAAATTTTTTTAGGTAATAATTTTGGGGTGAGTGTTTAGCCTCGGGTTATTTTATAGAATTTAAAATACTTTTTAATTTTGATAATTGAATTTGTTTGGGAAAGCTGAGGTACCAAATATGAAACAGAGATCYTATTTAAGATTTTGAATTTTCAAAACAAATTTTATATGATGGTTGGGAATCCTTTACTACAAATCTAAAACAGAACAATATTTCCGAAGTTAATTGAATATAAATTTCAATACATCTAGAAATTTTTTCAAAAAATACTATTTCCAATTGTAAGCCTTTTAATACACTCAAATATGCTTAGGTGTTTTATTTTTATATACGCAATTTCAGAAAGTGTTGATATGATTCTTTCTCATCTTTTTATAAACAGTTTATGCAGCTAGTATTCGGTAAGAAAGTCAATCTTACTGCATGAATTACAATTACATTGTGTACAGTTAGAGCTCCTACAACCATTGAAAGGTGGACATTTTGCTCCGAGCTAGAAGGACATCGCGACTGTACAGCTGCTGGTAGTCGACTAGGTCTTGCTAATTTGATCTGAGGCCCAACGGTTCAGTAGCAAACCACAACCACCGCAGCTACATTTTTAATAATATTTCCAGTGTTAAGTCTTCTCAAGCTTCTTTCTTTTGATATCCATGTAACCTTATGGCCGTTTTGTTAACTCTACATACATTACCTATAAAAGAAAGTGTATTTTGACTGTCGGGATTATGCATACTATTAAATCGCTCTTATTAGAAATTACTCGTCTGAAGAACAAAAAAAGTGGCGGGGGCCGATGGATTCTTGGCCGAGCTTTCGTATATATAATGTTCTATTGAGCGTACTGTGTGAAAGATTAAAGCTGATATCCCCGCGAAGCTTATACGGCTGTGTAAACTGACAATGTCTGACAACTAAGCAATGCCAAACTTTCCGCAAGACGAAATATCTCAAGTCACCTAACAGAATAGCTCTTGCCAACAGGTGCTACTTTGGGCTCAGTAGGCAATTGAGAATTAAAGTCCTTTCTCGACRAACAAAGGYCAAATTATACAAGTCCTGTTATATGGTGCTGAGGCATGGACGATGACAACATCTGATGAGTCRGCGTTACAAGYTTTCGAGAGAAAGGTTCTGCGGTAGATTTATGGTGCTTTCTGCATTGGCAACGGCGAATACCGCATTCGATGGAATACGAATTAGCTTTACTAGATTTACGACGTCATTAACATAAGTWTGTAATTCAGCAAATTAAAAGACAGCGGCTACTCTGGCTGAGTAATGTCGTCCAAATCGACGAAAATACTCCAGCTCAGAAAGTATACGATGCAGTACAGACCTCCACTCCGCTGGAAAGACCAGAAGAATCTGGCTACGTTTGGTTTCTCCAATTGACGCTTCATTGCGAAAAGAAGAAACTGAAGAAACTGAAGAGACTGTCGCGCTGTTGTTAACTCGGCTATAACCGCGTAAGCGGTGYCTACGGCAATAAATAAGAAGAAGAAGATGTGGCGTGATAACAGTTAAAAGGTAAAATCGTCTCGATACTCCCCAACTTGCATATACTACGTATAATGATTTTCGTTTTTCTAACAAACCTTACCTCTGTCCGTGTATGATTTATATGTATATAGTATATACGTATATATTAATATACAAATATATGTATATAATTGATTCGACTTCGATCCTCTGGTTGACATTTTACACCTTAAGGTATTTCCCTGGCTTGGATTCCTGCAAGTTGCAAGAGTATRAAATATTTAGTYGCATTCAAACTTAGCTTTCCTTTATTTGTTACTTTCAAATATGTRTTCTTTCAAAGTTTGGTAACAATTTTCATTGCAATTAAATTATGACAAATCTTCTAAAAGYTTTGGAGAGTGCAATTTGAGAGAAACTATGAAACTTCTCGGTTTGGTTATAAATAAGGCATTTAGCCGCTCATCAACACCTTTGAATCAAACAAAGTCAGGTGAAATTGCATAAATACTCAATCTGGRGTGATTAAACAAGTGCTTGCTTGTTAGCTTTGCATTCAGCCTATGCGCATACATAAATAGCAAATAATAAGTATTTTTATTCAAATAAGTGTTCAAGTGTGGCGCTGATAATTCCATTCAACTCGGTACCTCACCTATGATTAACTTATTTGAGTCAACGATTTGTTATAATTTTAATTATACATTTTTTCAATTTCTTATTTGCAAATATTTGATGTCATTTTACTGTTTTTTTCTTCTTGTTGCTATTTTTCAACGAAGGCTATGCCATTGACCTGAATGCAAATTGTTGTCAATTTGTTTTAGCGCTTAGTCGACGCTGCGTCTTCGGCTAGAAAAAATTAAAAAATTCGCTTTTTCTTTGTSTATGCCGCGGAGCTGCAGTGCGGCGCGCTGAGTGCAGTTATTCGAGGCCTCGGCAATAGCAGCAGATATTGTGCGTATTTGAGTTGGAAAAAAAATTTATAAATATTTACAAGCAGCGCGCCACTTCCGCGTGCTGCATGATATATTTATTATGTGTATATGACCTTTCTGCAGATTGCATTCCATGAAGCGGATGATAAAATAGTTCCGCGCTGCAAAAGGTCGTCACTAATTAGTTAAATTCGGTTTATAATTAATTATTTAAAAGTATCAAATAAAAAACAATTTATCCATGGCAGCTGCTGACGCACATGCGTACACACTCACACACTTATTGCTATAATTGAGCTCATAATGAGCTTAGCAACATGCGCGTTGTGAGCGCCCGCAATATGCCGAACGCACTGCGCCCCTTGTTGTGCTACTGATAACACCCGCATGTGCTCGAACCAACGAACAAATTGATAAGCGCGATAACGAAGAGGCACACCAAAACGTAAACAGAGAGCCGCAGCACCAACACGCGGAGAGCAACGATATTTAGTTCGAACGCGGTGAGTAAGTGAGTTTGAGCGGAAACGATTGTGCTTCGATCGCTTTCGAGTGATTTTATTTTTTGTTGTTTTTTCGCTCTCTTCAATTCACTCAAACATGTTGCGCGCCGCAAATACACTCAAGCTAATGACATGCGAACATTCTGAGCTGTCCAAAAAGCCGGCTACAAATCATGCTTATCAGAAGCGCGAGCATGCGCTAGCGTGTAAACAGTGAGAAGTAAGCTTTGCTTATTGATCAAGCCCGATCAGTGTTTGAGTGGCCCTACGGTTTGATCACAAGCTTTTTCAATGCTTATGCACTCGCTTTTGGGCCAAGCGGCAAAACGTACTCAAGTAGCTGAGCTCCAACGCTTGCTCGATACAGTCGTTCCATACGGTTTGCCGCTTGATTAGCGCAGCATTGGTGGCAACAGCAGAGCTGRTGGTGGTGGTACTCGTGGAGGTGGAGGCGCTGGCAACAGCAGCGGGGGTGTGAACCCCACTGTGTTGTAGTGCTGCCTTCGGCTATTGCTGTTCGTTCGTTTCGGTTTGCAGCGCTGCGCTGCGTTACGCTTTGCACACCTCGTTTTCGCTTCGCTTTAGTTTGGCTAGCGCTTCGGCAAGATTGATTTTTGACTGGCTCAAACACTTAACACGATCGTAGAGCGTAGAACGTCGCTTCGTTGATCGCTCGTTCGCTCGCACGCTCGCACGGTCGCTGGTTCGTTCGTAAGGTCGGCTATGAGCTCTGACGCTTATAAAAGTAGCAAGGACATACGTCTGGGCCATTAGTCGAAATCTATTAACGCACAACGCGAAGTCGTCTGAATTTGGCGTTGGCGAGTGTTGAAAACAATTCATTCATTAATTCACAACTCAAATAAATTAAATAAACGTGCTTTATAATCAATTTAAAAAAAATTATTAAATACAGTAGCGTGAAATAAAATTATGTTTAATTTTTTAAACATTTTCAATGAATACAACACGGTAAATAAGCAACGGCTTTAAGAGTTTGTAAAAAAATACAAGAAATCAAATGAATTAGCAGACATTAAGCAAAATATGTTTACAAAAATTATCAACAAAGAAAAGTGTTAAAATATTTTCAATGTGTTGAAGCTGGGAGTTTAAGAGAAAATATTTTCAATAAAATTGCTTAAAACAAAAGCATTAAAAATATTGCAATCGAAGACTAAAACTGCAGCGGTTTTGCAGTAAAAAATTTTATAAAGAAAAACTTTTTTGAAAAAATTAAATTTAAACAGAAAAAATGTTCGCCAATTCATATTTTATAAAATTGCTAACGCGACAATGCACAACCAATGATCTGCAGCACCTGTTGCTCGTCTTCTTCACGGTGCTGAYAGTGATCTGCTTCCTGCAGAGACTCTTGAACGCCTATCGGGAGTTGCGCAAGTTGCCACCGGGTCCATGGGGTTTCCCCGTGATCGGCTACCTCTTTTTCATGGGCAACGAGAAGCACACGCGCTTCATGGAGTTGGCCAAGCAATATGGCTCGCTCTTCTCCACGCGTCTGGGCAATCAATTGACCGTAGTGATGAGTGATTATAAAATGATACGTGAATGCTTCAGGCGTGAGGAGTTCACCGGCAGGCCGGACACGCCGTTCATGCAAACGCTGAATGGATTTGGTAAGTAAATGCCTATTATTTAAACAGACCGT